AGTAAGGTTGAGGGGAAATAAATCAAATTGTGCTTCAACCCATCTGAGGGAGGATCACAGACCCAGCAGCTCGTTAAATTTAATGTGCTCATGACAGTTTGGGGGAACAGCAGAGCATTTTCCTGGTGGGCAAGGCCCTAGGGACAATTTCAAAAAACAGACACCATTAACATTCTTCCTTTTATTGTACCTCCTGGGGTCTGAGATAGTCTCTTCCCAGGTGTCAAGATTATTCTCTCTACTTCCTCAAAATCAGTTGTTCTGTTTCATTATTTATAAGTTCATCTTTTTTCCAGTTGTTCCCTACTTGTAACCAGACCTTTTGTCTAGAATGGGCAGGTGCAAGAAGGACAAGGCATTTTTATAAATCTTACAGAGACCCTTTATGTACACGTGGGCCACCTTAGGAAGACTCAACAAGCAGTGTACTCAAGCAGGCAGTCATTATCTTATGATTTAGGACCAGGTTAATCCTTTAGGAGAATCCAGGTGGCTAAATAGAATTAAGTTGGAATTTCCTAGGGCCCTTTTGGCCAGGCTGCCACATGGAAGGTGTACTAACTAGGCTGCCTGGGTTTGTCATTAGGGGAAAGAAAGAAGCATCATGCCAGGAATGCTCAGGGCAGAATCCCAAATTTTCAAAAAAGGTAAAAAAAAACTTCATACATTTCTTTGTGTGTGTGGTGGGGGGGGGGTGCGGCGGGGGGGATGCGGCAGGGTCTCACCCTATAGCCCAGGCTGGAGTGCGGTGGCACAATCTTGGCTTACTGCAACCTCCACCTCCCGAGTTCAATCGATTCTTCTGCCTCAGCCTCCTAAGTAGCTGGGATTACAGGCACACGCTATCTCGCCCAGCTAATTTTTGTATTTTTAGTGCAGACAGGATTTCACCATGTTGGCCAGGCTGGTCTGGAACTCCTAACCTCAAGTAGTCTACCTGCCTTGGCTCCCCAAAGTGCTGAGATTACAGGCATGAGCCACCATGCCCGGCTATTTCTTTATGCTGTTTTTAAACCTTGAAGTCAATGGAATTTAATTTTTATATATGGTGGTAAAACAGGAAAGGCTCCCTTGTCCCCTCGCAGGGTGTGTGATGGGAGTGTAGCTCGCTTCTTCAGCACCCCCCTGCTCAAACCTCTAGGGGTGCATACAGACAGGCAGGCTGTGGGTCTCCCGCCCCACAGCAGTGTCTAGGAGTGAAAGTTTACAGCTGAAGCCCCAGTGGGCGTGTGTTACAGGGTGCTCTTTTAGGTTAGCCATCCACAGGTGGCTTATGTTAGCTTGATTAGACCCCCTTGCTTTATCACAAGTACAGAGGGCTTTCTGTATCCCAGCATTCTTGCCCTGGTGTACCGGAAGAATTGGATCACGTGTGGGCCTGGGGAATTAGTGCAGGGTTTTATTGAATGGAAGTAGCTCTCAGCAGATAGGGGAGCCAGAAGGGAGATGGTTTTTCCCTGGGGTTGGGCCACTCAGCAGCCTAACTCTTCTCTGACTGCCCTGGCCAATCTCCAAGTTGTCCCACCAGTGGATGGCCTGCTCGTGTGCCAGCCTGCTGGTGCCTGTTGGTGTGCTCTTGACGTCCAGCCACTTGTGTGTTCCTCTGTGGATGTGCTCCTCTTGACATCCAGCTGCTTGTGTGCTTGCCTGCTAGGGTCTTGGGGTTTTTTATAGGCACAGGATGGTCTTGGGAAATGCAGCATTTGGGGGTGAAGGCAGGAGTGCCTGTCCTCACCTAGGTCCCTGGGCACAGGCTGGGGGTGGAGCCCTCACCAGGGACTCCCCTTTCTCCTCCCAGCACTTCCCTGCCTGCTTCCCGTATCAGTGGGAGATTGGGATCAATTGTAATTTTATCTGTGTGGATAATCAGTTACCACAGTACCTTTCTCTGTGATCTGCAGTATTAGCTCTTTTACAAATCAAGTTTTTATACGTGTGTTAATATATGTCTGCTCCTGTGCCTTTTACTCTATTTTATTGGCTTACTTGTACCCACAGTCCTAATTACTTGAGTTTTACGGTATTTTTAGCTATCTGGATGAGTCCTCCAACCTTGTTCTTCTTTCAGATTTTCTTTGCTACTCTTACTCTTGGCCCTTGATATGTGTATTTACATTTTAAAATCTACATCTTAGGGCGGAGCATGATGGCTCACACGTGTAATCCCAGCACTTTGGGAGGCCAAGGTGGGCCAGTTGCCTGAGGTTAGGAGTTGGAGACCAGCCTGGCCAACATGGCAAAACCCCGTCTCTACTAAAAATATAAAAAATTAGCGAGGTGTGGTGGTGTGCACCTGTAGTCCCAGCTACTCGGGAGGCTGAGGCACGAGAATCGCTTGAACCCAGGAGGTGGAGGTTGCAATAAGCCAAAATTTCACCACTGCATTTCAGCGTGGGCAACAGAGCAAGACTTTATTTCAAAACAAATAAATAAAATAAAATAGATCAACTTCTCAGGTCACTTACAGACACACACACACACACACACACACACACACACACACACACTGCTTTTATTGGAATTGCGTTGCATTTATAATCAATGGGGAGAATGTCATCTTTCTAATATGAAATCCTCTAATCTATGAGCATAACACATCTCCTTTTTTTCCCCTGTTTGTATTTTCGAGACTGAGTCTGGCTCTGTCGCCCAGGCTGGAATGCAATGATGCGATTTCAGCTCCCTGCAACTTCCGCCTCCCAGGTTCAAGTTATTCTCCAGCCTCAGCCTCCAGAGTAGCTGGGATTACAGGCGCCCACCACCATGCTTGGCTAATTTTTGTATTTTTAGTAGAGATGAAGTTTCACCATCTTGGTCAGGCTGGTCTTGAACTCCTGACCTCAAGCAGTCCATCTGCCTTGGCCTCCCAAAGTGCTGGGATTATAGGCGTGAGCCACAGCTCCTTTTTAAGGCATATCTTTTTTTTTTTTTTTTTTAACAGAACATCTCCCTATTAAAAATGTGAAATACCAATGTGGAAACAAAAGGACCTTGACCTCTATCTCATACTATACACAAAAATTAATTTAAAATGGATCGTAGACCTCAGTTTAAAAGCTAAAACCATAAAGCTTCTAGAATAAAATATAGGATATCTTTCTTATGTACGTGGGTAGAGATTTCTTAGGCCATAGAAAGCATGAATCATAAAAGAAAAATATTGATTAAATAGTGGACTTTATCAAAAATTTTAAAATTCTGCTCATCAAAAGACGTTATCTAAAAAATAAGTTGTCAAACCGTAGATTGGAAGAGGGTATATGACCAAGGAAAAGCAACCTATTAAAAATGAGCAAAAATCTTGAAGAGATACTTCACAAAAGGTCATACCAATGACCAAAGCATGTGAAAAGTGCTCAGCATCGTTAGTCATCGAGGAAATGCAAATCAGAATCACAGGAGACACTGCATACCCACAGGATGGCTATAAAGGAAGGAAAAACAAAACAACAGCAAATATTGAAAAAAAGGTAGAAATCTCCATCAGAAATCTACCTTATTGTTGGGAGTGTTAAATGGTATAATGATTTTGGGAAACTGTCAGTTTCCTAAACAGTTAGACATGTTACAGTTTTATTATCAGATATTAATCCAGGAGAAATGAAAATATGTTCTTTAAAAGTCGTACATAAGAATTTTACATCAGCTTTATTCATAATAGCAAAAAAAGGTAAAGAACCCATGTCTGTCAAGAGGAGAATTAATAAACAAACTTATAGATTCATATAATAGAATACTACTCAACAAAAAAAGAAGCAGATGATATTGATATGTTGAATAACATGGATAAATTTCATTAACTCTGTGCTGAGTGAAAAAATTGAGACAGAAAATGTATTATTAGATTTATAGGAAATTCTAGAATAGACAAAACCAAACTGTGATGATAGAAATCAAATCAGACGTTCCTTTGTAGGGTGGGAGATGACTGAGAAGGGGCATGGGTGATCTTTATGGGATGATGGAAATTTTCTGAGTCTTCATAGGGGTGTGGATTACACGAATATGCATTTGTGGGCTGAATGGTACACTCAATCAGAGCATTTGCTGTGTATAAAAATGTTTCAGTTTTTTAAAAATGTGATATTCTGTATTACAATTAATAGGGACATAACACGTAGAGTTGATAAAAGTGGGTAGATTAGGAAATATTTACATCACCCCTTCAGAGTAATTCTTTAATAGTTATGGAGACAGTATGTTCCTAAATGGTATATTTAGCTTGAGCTTTTTGATAAGTGGTGCAGTCTGAGGAACTATTTTACTTTCATAGTTCAAGAGAAGTTTTTATAAAGATGGAAAAGATAATCCTTAGAAGTTCAGCAGGGATTGGATTTCCAGACCTTCACCTGCCAAGACTGTACTCCTGATAATCGTACTCAAAACCAGTGGTTCTCAGTCAGGGGCCATTTTGTCCCATAGGGTGTATTTGGCAATGTCTAACGACATTTTGATTGTCATGATTGTTGGGGAGGGTTGTGCTGCTGGCACCTAGTGGGTAGAAGCCACGGAAGCTGCTAAACATGTATAGGACACAATGTATAGGACAGCCCCTTAAAACAAAGAGTTGTTTGGTCCAAAATGTAATTGGTGCCACGGTTGAGAAAGCTTGGTCTAGACCTGTCCTTACCACTGAAGCTGAGTCAGTCTCAGTCAATCAGGTGTTGAGTCTACTTATAGTCCAAATCAGTTATGGAAACTTGGCATCTACAGATTACATATTTCTCCCCTGACAGAATATAATATCAAATATTTGTAAACATACATAATCTTAAATTTTGAGATAACAGTTCATGTATTGAGAGCACTTCAGAAATCAAAATTATCTTTTATGTTGATTGTTAAACTCTTAAGATGCTGTAGATTCTGTTTTTAACTGTATTTAATTAAATGTCCAAACAAATGACCTTAGTTATCTTCCTTTTTTAAAAAAAGGCTTTATTGTCGGATCAAAGGGAATAAATGATAATAACTCATCCTTTTTCCTCCTCCTTTCACAGAATGACAGGCAGAGAGTTTTTCTCGCGTTTCCCAGAACTCTATCCTTTTCTTCTCAAGCAGTTGGAAACTGTAGCCAATACAGTAGACAGGTAAGAAGAGAATTGGGTGGGGCAAAATGAACTCATGGTCATATTACCTTCATGATTGAGATTTTCCCTCTAGGCAACTGTTTTTAATAAAATTCTTCCTTTTTTTTTAATTAAAAAAAATTTTTTTCCTTGAGACAGTGTCTTTCCCTGTCACCCCCAGGCTGGAGTACAGTAGTGGCCACTACACTCTACCCATTTTTGTATTTTTTGTAGAGATGGGGTTTTGTCATGTTTCCCAGGCCGGTCTCAAACTCCTGAGCTCAAGCGATCTGCCCACCTCAGCCTACCAAAGTGCTGGGATTACAGGCATGAGCCACTGTGCATGGTCAGACTTCTTCCTTGTAATAAAATTAGCTTTTTTAAAAAAGTGCTTTTTTAAATAATTATATTATGTTGCCTGGTTTTCTATAGTAGATTTGTACTTGAAAAGCTGTGTAAAATCTTGTCTTTATATTTTAAAAATCCTATTTTATGTTAAATTTTATCAAACTTAATTCCATTTTCTGTGTTATAGAAACTAAGAATCACATGGTGATTTCTTCTGTTATGATTTTCTTCCTATTATTAAAAAAAATCTGTGTTTACCTATTGAGTTTGCTCTATGCACACCTGTCTTTTTTTTATTATTGACTTGTTACATCTTGCCATTGTGAAACTATAGCAATTAGCTGACTAATGTGATCACTTATATTCAGAAATGGTCTTGTTCTACCTTAGTGAAAGTGGCTGGTATTGTTGGAAACAGAGAGCAAAGCCATTAAGAGGACTTCCAGTTTTATAGTTCACCATTGTCTTCACACCTATAATCCCAGCACTCTGGGAGGCTGAAGCAGGCTGATCACCTGAAGCCAGGAGTTAGATCAGCCTGGCCAACACTGCAAAAACCTGCCTCTATTTAAAATTGGCCAGGCACGGTGGCTCACGCCTGTAATCCCAACATTTTGGGAGGCCGAGGCAGGCAGATCATCTGAGATCAAGAGTTTGAGACCAACCTGGCCAACATAGTGAAACCCCGTCTCTGCTAAAAATTAAAAATTAGCTGGGTATGGTGGCACACACCTGTAGTCCCAGCTACTTGGGAGGCTGAGGTAGGAGAATCACTTGAACAAGGGACGTGGAGGTTGCAGTGGGCTGAGATCGTGCTGCTGCACTACAGCCTGGGCAACAGAGTGAGGCTCTGTCTCAAGAAAAA